ATCAAAAATACTCCTACAACTTAAATTATGAGTTGTAAAGACAATTCAATTCGAGTGTTTTTTCAATATAAAATAAAGAATTTTGTCTTCAGCAAATATAATAACATTTCGCATATTATGTTAAATGCAATAGATAACGATATATTTTTAAAAACTGATTAATTTTTTTTACAAATATTGTTGCAAAATTTATTATTTAAAAAAAACGATGCAATTATTTATTGGTAATTTAATGAGCAATTCCAGTAATAACAATGAAATAATAGATAGATTTCATTATACACAATTAATATAAGAAAAAATGTCAAATTTTACGCGAAATATAAAAATATAAATGACGACTTTAAAAATATTAATTTTTATCACGATGAGGAACCAAAAAAAATAAAATAAAAATAGTAATGTATGTGATTCATATAAAAATATGGTTGTGTATAAAATGAGGTTTTATAGTTAAATTATACAGAAAATTCTTTTTATATAATCATAAAAAGTCAACAATAGAAGTATTAGAATCTCTTACAACGTTAAAAGTAAATACATCGGAAATTTTTAAATCACATATAGTGATGTATTGCTTTTAATAGTAAACATGTATGAAGCAAAGATTTAATTGTTTTTCACTCTAATTTATAGAAAATGATTTGGATATGTAATAAATATGAGAAAATGATTTTTGTTTAAACAAAAATCATAACAGTTTGTAAAAAAATTTAAAACTCTCCATATGAATAATTGTACAATGAAAAACAGAGAGAAAGATTCAGCTTATGATATATTTTACAATTCTTAAAAAAAAAAAGATCACGAAGTATATACGATAGTTAAGAAAAATAAACGGGAAAAAGATCGGTAAGATAAAATCGGATCAGATATAAATAGAATAAAAAAAAAAAAAGAAAAAAAAATAGCGTTACAGCCTAGAGAACGTGATTATAAAAGAAAGCTCAGTTGTAGATAGTACAACAGCTGCCAGTAGAAGCAAATTGAACAAGCAGTGTGTTCACGTCGAATCTAACATTTTTAAATCGAATTTTAATGGCCGATGGGAAAATGATAATTAGATATATTTATACATTACACATGATCGATGCGGGACTGGTCCGCTAAAGAGTCCAAAGTTCTAAATAATAATTATTTTAATGTAAGTGCAAAGTCTATTTAACCATGGATGTGACGTCATTTGTTCTTAAATATTGAAGAGATTGATATGAATAGATCAATAATTCAGATTAGAACAGGTGAGCTTCACACGTGAACAAGACATGCCAAATGCATTTAAGTAGTTTATTTTATATTTGATATCTATTATTGTACGTAGATCAAGTATTGAATTAAACTAAATGTAGAAATTGCTTTGTTCTTCTATCGAGGCATAAGTAATTAGATGAATATAATTGTAGAACGAGGTGAGAACTGTATTATTATAACGCAAAAATCCTTGTGACAAGTGACAGAGGGCGACAGAGTGGATAATTATAAATATTTGTGTAGCTTGTTACATACGCTTGCTCAAAAAGTAATTCAACTGTTGCTAGAATGAATATTTTTATAAAGTACTGTGCGTGGTATTACATTAAGAGCAATAAAAAATAAAAGTGGTGATAATTGAAAGATGGAAAAAAAAAAAAAAATACTTAGAAAATATCATATCGAGTATGAACAGAGAATTGATTCAAAACATAATGCTTTTCAAATTATTTTTATAGAAATTATGTATTGTAAATTTTACGCGTATCTTTCTCCCTTTGTCGCTTGAAGATACTTTTATGGTTACCCCACTACAATTTCCATATTTTTTAATGCAATTATTACTATTTACTATAAGGATGTACATATATAATAAGTAAGAAGTTTATAAAATATTATTTAAATATTACTATTTGTTCTTATAATTTGTAAGTTACGCATAAAAGATTAATTTATCGCAAGATTTCGTATTAGGATTGATTCGTATGTAGACGATAATAATTGTAACTTTTTTGTAAGCACAATTAATTCGTAAATGTATACGCGATATTGCATAAGTCAGTGTTGTCCACAAGTGAATTTTTTCACGTGATTTTTTATCCTATCCACATCATTCTTATATCATTATAATAAGACAATAGACAATAGATTTGATATAATATCATTTTTAATTTTTTCTATGAACTTCGTTTTTAAAACAAACAAACTATCACACTTAAGCTTTCCCAGAAAATATTTGTATATTTGCGCGCGTGTTAATGCGCATCAGTTAATATCCTTGTAGTAACGAAGATAGAACGAACGAAGTTTTAAAATTCTAACCTTAATTTGGATAGCACTGACTGTAGATTATAGAAATTTAAAAGTGATTTATGCCAAATATATGAAATTCATTATTTATATTATTATATACATGTATATGTATTTACACACACACACACACACATACACATGATAAATTTGATATCTTTGTTATTTCCTTTACTTCTTTTTTCATTTTTTTCGATTACACGCGCGTATACTTTCGATCCGACTGTTGAAATTGTACTTTTTCTTATTCCTGGTAAAATATGAATTAAAAAAATAAGTATGATAAAAATCATTACAAAATTTTGATTCATAATTACCCTGAAAACTCCATTTCTTTCGATATATTTATAAATTTTGAAGTTGTTGAAGAATCGTTTGTTGAAAATTTTAATATTTTATTTTAATAAAACTTTTTAATCAAAAAATATTTTTATATCCATTTTTTTTATCCATTTTAGGGACCGATTTTATATATCATATAGAGAGAGACTGAGTTTTTTTGTAGTAAAAAATTAATACGTAGCCGAATTAATTTTAGCGCTTGATTTTAGAATAGTAATTATGGCTAAGGATTACATACTTAATTGAACGGTACATTAAAAGTATGCACAACTTATGCTAAGTAGTGGCTTGAAAACCGTATTGATTTTATATTTTCTTATCTTGTGGAAAAATATCATTTTTATCATCAAATTTGTATATTATCGTTAGTTGGATTCGTTTCATTGTAATTTAACATTTACAATGATTCGTTAGATTAAAGATTTATTAAAAATTGATCGATCATTTCGAAATTAATTGGGCGACGATGATGATCGTGGGCTATATCCGATGTTCGTGAGAGACGAGTGACTCCGAGCGAATGTGCCGGTTCGCGAAGCTGGCAATCGGTCTAGTAAGTTCAGTAGTAGGCTCGCGCGCCTGCTGTAAGGGTGGCTGCTTGCCGCGCAGCCTGCCTTTTTCGTGTGCTTCTCTCGCTGTCCCATCGCTATCCTTTTTCCCTTTTGTATTTTAACATAAGCCGTCCTTCGCATTGCCATTACGTTTCTTAACGGAGTGGGGGGGAAAAAATTTCTATCAAATTGTAAACTAAACATATCGTAACAGGTGCGTGTGTGCGTATAAGTGTGTACAAAGAAATTAATACATATCAGTAATAGTTGACAATATAAGATTCGCAACACAAGGTTTAGTGCAAACTAGCATAAATGCCGCTCTTATCAGGTGAGACTTATAAATTGTACAACTTTGATGTTTTGAATAAAATTGTAGATAATTTTTATCAAAAATTTCATTTTTATAAAACTATAGATAAAAATTTTCGTTTTAGCATTATCGCAATGTATGGATATAAAAATGCGTACATATATTAAAAGATTAAATAATAATAATTGTTGATATAAACATATAATGATATTACAAATTTATGTTTATATTCTGATGAACAATATTCGTGTAAAGTTTATCATAAATTTGTATTTGTCAATTTGCATTTTTTTTATTTATTGTTTAAATCTAATTTTATTATAAAATTGAATAGCTTGTCGTAATTTAGATTTCGATATATGTTTAATTCGTATTTTTATTCATTCTGTTTCGAATGAAAAATCGCTTCGATATAAAGTCAATGGTAAATGTATGGTAAAAGTATTGTTACGCTCCGATTAACATGCAATATCGATTAATGTTAACGATCGCATATGAATTAAAGGGATATATTTTTTTGATGGTAAATAATTACGAATAATAGTTAATGTGCACGAGTAAATTATTTATATTACTTATTATAATTTATTATTATATATATTTTATATTAATTCATAGTATTAGATTTATATTTACTCAATATTATTGTATTTTAATTTTATTTTATTTTTTATTTTCGGATACATTGCAATTTATAAATACATTTGAAAGTAAATTATTTATGTAACTTACTATATATAAACTTTTTACTTTTTACATTCTATAAAATAAAAATGATTAATTAGAAAGAGTTGATAATCATTTTTATTTCTCAATATTTTCTCCATAATTGGAAAGTGAACATATGTTTTTCTTCTTCATCGTCTTCTGAAGGCGATTGATCTTACCAAATTTGGCGAATTCTCAGTATGATGTACAATCTTTTTCATGTCAACGACGCCTTCGTAAGATGATATGCAATACACATATGTAATCATCTTGCAAAGGTATATACAAATTTAATACCATGTAACGCGAAATATTTTTCTCTTTTCTCTTTTTTTAAATATCTCGTTTTTTTTTTTTTTTTTTTTTTTTTCGTAAAATTGTATGATTCATGTAAGTTTTTTTCAACGAAGAAAGGACAAAATAATTTTGCTTTTTATAACGAAACATCGAATTTAAAAAAAATGTTTAGGTCAAATTCGATTTAAACGAATCTAATATGTTTGATTTGCAAGTCACGTTTGCTTTTGCACGTTCATCGAACGTAAACACAACGTTGACTTGGCCTTGTTCCTGCTGCTCTCATTTCAAGTATAAGAAACGTGTAAACAATGCAAATACACTGCATTTTCCGAATGATGGTTGAAAAATAATTAATTTTTTTCGTTTTCAATCTTTTTAATTATCGTTTCGAAATCATTTTATTTGTATTTGAAAAGTAGCATTTGCGAAATTTTATACGAAATGAGAGATTGATCTCAAAGATATTGATTTTTTTTTATCGTATCGTCGAATAAATCGATAAAGTTATCTCAATAGCGTTATCTCAATGAAATGATCGATTAGATTCGATACAGAGCGATATATATTCAAATACGATTTCGTTTAGTTTAGAAGAATACGGTATAATCTTCCAATTCGATACAAGCTGCAGACACTTAACGCATCAACATTAATTTGTTAGGTCGACTGTTAGTTAGGTTTAGTTAGCGTGTTTGCCGTGCGTATTTAACGCACACGCACTTTAAACACATTGAAAGTGATGAATATACCTTTGCTTCCTCGTTTCTCCCAAGCATTGTAAGCGAATACTTCGTCTCGTGCGTTTCTATGATCTCTCATCTTATCAGCCGAGACAAGGATCTGTTAGCATAGCAAAATTTTCTTGTTCAATTATTATCCTTTCTTCATTTTCATCGTTTAAATTTACGAAATAATACAAGAAACGTAATTTGTAACTTGCATATACAATAAATGGTAATAATACGTAATTGGAAAATTTTTCGAATTTTTCATTATATATCGTATACTTTTAAAACCGATAAAAGGAATAACAATTTTATATGAATTTCAAAAAAAAAAAATATCGAGATTCTTTATTGCAACTATAGCGGTGACCATAGTTCGGCAAAATAACGTATCGCAAAATTGCTTCATTGTTTCGAGAAGAATTTATATACGGGGGACGTATGTAATCGTAAAATGCTACACGATACGGTAACGGTAGTTTATGGGATTCGCTATGTAGATGGGTAAAGGTTATGATGATTTATCTGGTTTCTGGATCTTTCCTATCCTCAACCCTGTGCTCGTAATCATTGTTCCGGGCCATATTGTTGCCTATCTTCTCCGGTATCCGTAAAAAATTGTGATACTTAAACGGCATAATGGAGAGTGCACGGAAACTGTCGTGCCGACGATCCATGGTGGCGATAGCGAGAGAACATGGCCAATAACATCGTTAGACCGGTCAAGCTGGTAAAATGTCGTTGAATCATACTCGACAACGCGCAGATTCTTGCATTTTTCATTTGACAAATTTTTCTTAAACAAACTTTTGTTATTTAATTTTCTTTTCAAAATAATTGATTAAGAGAACGAAAAATCGTCTGTATTTTTAAGGTTAGTAACAGATGTCGCGAGCATCGCGTGGAAGCATTATACATCGGATCAGTTGTTAACAATCTCCCTCGAGAATTCACGAGGAACGCGACTTTTGGTCGACTCTCGTTATCAAATCTTTCCCCCCGCGCGCGATACCTTTGATAAATCACTTTCTTTCACTTTTTTTCAGAATGTTGGGTTCCACGTTACACGCGTTTAAGAGTCGGAATCGACGACAATGGTATACGTAATGAAGCGCATAAACAATGGCGTAAAACTTCTCTTTCCTTCTCGTTCCCCGTTGGTGGTTGGCAATGCACAATGGAGATGCAAAGGCTGTTCGACCGACAACGGCACTTTATGGGGCTCATAAAGCGATAAAGACATCCGTACAAATGTACACGCTTCGTGTAACACACCATGCACTTCCGCGCTATCTCACCTGAGAAATGTTCTCGTAAGAAAAGTGTGTGCATCGGTGTTTTTAGTCTGCTCGGGGTAAATGGAATAGAAGTGTAATAGGATATACGCGTAAAGAGGTGAAACGGGAGTATTACCCCTAGTATTTTTTTCACGTATGCTCAATTATGAAAAGAGAATAAGTATATTAAAAGCTATGCTTAATTTTTCTATGTTATTACGACAATTTGATATATATATAAATTTTGCTGTATTAACGAAAACGCGATTGATCACGATGTTGTGGGAAAAAAGTTAAGATTCGGACAGTGAATCAAATTCGAAGCCGATATTAACAAAAGGAATTTTTCGAGTACAAGAGGTCAACGAGTTTGCCTCGCTTGACCCTGCCGTTAAATCATACAAGAAGAGATTCCTTCGTTGGTGGTCCTCGTATCATCCACGCTTATTAATGGCCCAGTCCTTCAACAACAATCTCGCAAAGTTATCGCGATTATTTGTACATATTTATTAAAATCAACGTTCATATTATATATATAAATTATACTGGCGATATAAGATATAAATCAGCGAGAAATTGATTTCGCTGAAAGATTAAATAGCCGGATTTTCGTTTATTTTGAGTCAAGATCAAGATATTTGATGGACAAACAAAGATTACGCAACCGGTGTTTTGTGTTTTGCATTCTCGAATTATCTGAACGGAGCGTAACAAGGTTTCTGGGATTATAGTACGAGACGTTGCGTGTATCGCGGCATAATCGAACGTTGAGAATACAAAGGCTGGTCAAGATAAAGATAGAGTGTAATTTGCTCGCTCCCACTCACGCTTAATCGTAGCTGGCCGGCCACTACTTACCGACTACTTATTCAAGATCGATGATGTCGTCACCTTTTTTTTTTTTTTCATTTCATCTTTCATCCACAAGAAGCACAAACTTAATATACGTTTTTTTACAATTAGTACGTTTATACAATCGTTCCGGATACAAAGTTGGAATCTTCCTTACCAATCGAACGCGATAAAATATTCGGTTAGAAGATGTCGTTTCGGATCTCTGTGAAACAGGTTTATTCGTTGAATTTATTAGGAATCTCCCTGCTACTTCCAAACTATCCTACAAGTGTCAAATCGAATTTTCTCGGTTACATCCGGCTTGTGAATCACCGTTTCCCAACCGGTGGATATAGAAGCTTCTGTTTCCGTCTTTCCCCTTGTTTTTGCCTTTGCTTTTCTTCCAATTCTGCCAATCTGGACGGTTAAACAAACTCTCTCTCCCTCTCCGTCTCTCTCTCTCTCTCTCTCTCCTCTCTCTCTCTCTCTCTCTCTCTCT